AACCATTCCAAATATGAAAGTGGCAATTTAATCACCTATGAAGTTATTAACGATTTATTATGCATGATAATTTTGATGTGCTATTACTCGTAACTTTTGTGTAAAATATTGTATAAAATCATTTATTTTGTTTAGTATTATCTAACATAAAAATGCGTTTTCAAGATAAGAAACTAAACAAAACTCATTGAAATGTTCATATTATTATATATATATATATATATATATAAACTCATTGAAATGTTCATATTATGATATATATATATATATACTCCGCATTAATAAGTAGCATTAAATAAATAACCACAACATGAATTCTGGTTCGTGTTGCAGGTGATCATACTGGAATGCATACTATCTCAAAAGCTGTGCATCGCATGTGCACGACCTGCGTCAAGCACAATAGGGTATAGAATTTGTAATTGCAGTATGTGCAATATACTTTTCAGACCTGATTGAACCGACGACAATACTCATATTGACCTTTCTTGACAAGATGAACACTTTAATGCCATCTTTTATATTGCGTGGAAAGTTCCCATCACTATGTCCACACTAGAAAATATGCAGATAAGAAAGGAAAGCCATATTTAGAAGTACAGCATTCTTTGTCCACGTGATTAGAAAACTAAACATCAGGACGAGGTAACGATGGGTACAGCGTTAGCAGCACCAAGGCAAGGGAAACTTACATACTGGGATGGGAGTCAGGGAGAGTACAAGACATCAGGAGTTGAGTGGTTGAGTGGATGGGTGTCAGGAGAGTACAAGACATGTGAGTTGAGTGGATGTGCGTGGGTGCGTGCGTGCGTGCGTATTTTACGCACTGGGGCCCGTTTTTCACAAAGTATGGGAGTTACGATATCGTAGTGCTACGACTGTCGTAAGTCGATATATGTAGCAAAGTCATGGGAGTTACGATTTCTCTCTCTCTCTCTCTCTCTTAGTTCGATCTCTCGATCGATCGATAAATTAAATAATTCATAATCAACTGCGCGACAAATTTCACTGTCAATTCAGTCCAGATTCGGAGACAGACTATCAAAAGGGAAAGCTGCGGAGCACGACAGTTGCATAATAGTTACTTCTTGGTGTAGAAGAAAACATTGGGGGACTGCTTGTCTAGGAAACACCTCCTATTTGCACTGCTAAATAAACCATGTTCGCGAGTTCATCTTGAGGCACTGAGATATTGGACAAACTCTTGAAAAAGAAACTGTGATATCAAAGAATATACCTGTAACAAAGCATGTCGAAAGTCATTCACGTGCTATTCGGGCACCACCTCAGATCATTTGGCCTATTGCTAACAGAACAACGTTCAGCTGCCAAAGGTTCAACTGTAGACACAAGAGTGCATCACTGATGCTGTAAATTCCAACTAGCACATATATCCTTGTGTTGCTCAACAGTGACATTAACACTTCTGGTCTTGACAGGAATGACGATTGCTACTGAAGCCTGTATTTATAGAGAGAGTACCCATTCTGTGCGCGCTGAATCTGGATATAGATAGCATGTATCATGTTTGTTTTGTCTGTTTGGTGTTTTTTGGAGTATACTTGTGACCACGTGAAAAGCCATTGCAGTGCAAAATGAAAAGTCAACAATCTGACAATAAGCTTGTCGTATTAATTAGGAAACCATATATATACGGTACCGGTTATCAAGTACATACTGAAATGGCAATATGCAACTTGATGTTCATCCATACTGCTCGCGTGCGTTGCACCTTATACCGGATCAGACCGAAAATATTCTTTTGACCTAAGCTATAACTTCAAATCTCCATATTTTATATGATGAATTCAATTCTCCTTTTTTGTTCTTTTCAGAAATGATCCTGTCTGAAGAATGGAATATATTTTTGTTAATGACTCCTCAAAAATATCGAATAATTCAATTTCAGACTTAGGACTTTTAATGTGTTATTAAACAACCATGTTTAATAAGATAAAGGTCAACCTTTTCGAGATTAGAAAACACTAAACAATCTGGTAAGGGAGGGGAGAATGGAAATAGTATTTCTTTTGTATCTTTACTTTATTGTCATTAGATTTCGTATTCACACATATTTGTATTATTGTACACACACAAAGACTGACATATACAGCTCTATTACTAGATAAAAGTTCAGAGGTCGGATATATGTCAATAAAATTTGTTTTATCTCTATATCTTTTGTTAAAAGTTATTCACAAAGTTTGTCATAAATATCCAAGAAGGATGTCAACCCTAGCGATGTAAAGGTCATAAACTACAGCAAATCTAAAGTTTATGCCAGTCACCATGGATTGGTGTCTGTTTGGAGTCAGTCCATGCGAACATACAACGCGTTGACAGTTTTATCACAGGCTTGAGATGTTTATATTAAGACCCGTGTATAAAGGAGCACTTGCGAGCCCGCAAGATAACACACGTACCCCTGGATTGTACAATGGTGCGTGCTATTTATATACGCTTTCCGTGCAGATTCCATCCCCATAATTTCTTGTCATGTGTGATGTTGTAGCAGATGAGTGGACTGCAAGCATGTTCCAAGAACGACTGCACGCATGTACCAGAGTGACCTTGTTCTCTGGGTGCATTTATCATCACATTTAATGTTATGTTTCAAAATTAATGAAACAAAGATATTTCAGATTCCAAATTCATGTCGTAATGCCTACGTTTTCACTAGTAACAGCAAATGCACTCAAATCGCGATCTTATCTTGTAACACATCATTCACACGTCAATCACACGAAGAACACATACTTTACTTAACATTACTCATGGCTTATTGGAGAACATTTGTTTTACTCTTATTTACAGGAGTACAAATAAGGAGGAACACATGTAGCGCCCTACGTCCCATGACGTTGCTATACACGTTCCGAGAGACGCTAATCTTTGGTTTTGGCGCATATTGCATAAACCAGATTTTAGCTTCAGGGCGCTAATGGTCCCTCCTACTGTCGGTGTTTAACGATTGCTTTTCATGACTTAATGATTGGTTTAAATATACAGTCCACAATCTAGAACAGATGTGTTCTGGATTCAGTATATTTCATTTCATAAGTATGATCTGTGACCTGTAATATCAAGAAATAAACAGCATATCATGTAGTCAGTTATTACACAACATATTTGGTATGTTCAATTTCATATGCTAATTACATATTAAATACAGCTACCTAGTTTGGGTTGTCTTTGTCTTGGTACATTTCAATGCAGATATATCATAGTGCTTGACGAGCTAATAATCTCTTCTACTCACCAGCTTGAGAGTCATGGTCACTGATACCGCCAGGGGGCGCTATATATCACCGGGAGGTAGGTTGACCAGGTTACGTGTGTGGAACATGTGTTTTTGTTTAGGACTTTTACAGCTGTATTCTAACTCACTGCGCACTACTACAGTTAATGTAGGTTACAGCGCACATTTCCGACACAGAGGGTTTATATTTACGAGCCTGGTTGTACAACGATAGCACTCCTCGCCTGTTCCCGGGAGACAGATAACAAATCTGCTATGACACCTCCAGGATAACATACTATAATAAACGTTTGTCTGTTTACCGTTGTCTGCGAGGGTCTGTGGGGTTTAGCGGATTACAGTGCCTTCCAAGCATGGATGTTTTCATTATCAAGTTTGTTTTCCTTCTTTGTTGTTTAACGCACCACTTAGCAATATTCCAGCTTCATGACGGCGGTCTTTAAATGATTAATCTGGGCAAGATAATCAAGTGATTGACATAATGAGCACCGATTTACCCAAATGGGAAACTATCTGTCAACCACGTCAGGAAGCCTGACCACCTGAGCCGGTAAGTCGCCCTCCAAGATAAGCCTGGGTAGACCCCCAGCAGGCACATCAACGTTGTTTCAACGTTGAGAATAGGTTGATCCTCAACGTTGAAAATAGATTGAAAATAGGTTGTATATGAAAGATTTTTTGACGTAGATATCCGACGTGGAATCAACGTTGAAGTTTGACCGATTATCAACGTTGAAAAAAGGTTGATCCTCAACGTTGAAAATAGATTGAAAATAGGTTGTATATGAAAGTTTTTTTGACGTAGATATCCGACGTGGAATCAACGTTGAAGTTTGACCGATTATCAACGTTGAGAATAGGTTGATCCTCAACGTTGAAAATAGATTGAAAATAGGTTGTATATGAAAGTTTTTTGACGTAGATATCCGACGTGGAATCAATGTTGAAGTCTGACATATTATTAACGTTGAAAATGGGTTGTTCCGTGGTTGTGTCTGGGAGGTATTACGCTTTCCTGTAAATAGACTCGCACTTCATCTTTAAACTACAATAAAGTAGCACCAAACTCCTGCATCCAGCTAAAATACCCAAAAGCTACCTGCAATAAACAGTGTTCAAACAGAAAATTGCGGTAAAATATTTTACCTGATAAAATACTTGGTTCAAATTCCACATTCAATATAATGTTCATTTAAGTTTTATGTCAGTTGGACGTATAATTCCAGTAAGACGAAAAAGAGTATTCCAAATTAAGAAAAAACTATTCACTGTTGTATTGTTACCTTGAAAAGGTGAAAATTGTCCCGAGAAGACATTTTGTCTGAATTTCAGCTCTTAGACAGACCCCTGAATAAACACAATGCAATTACTTTCACCATGAAAGGGATCCAAGATGACCAGGAACTATACCTGAAGACAGCACATAAAACAAGTCACTTTTCATGAAATCTTTATGAACACACACGCACACAGAAAACGTGGTTTAATGCATAATGTAAAACATCACACATGACATAGTCTGTAGGTGATCTCTGTTGTGCTAATAACACAATATCATCTGCATATAGCATCAAAGTGACATTTACGCCACCAATTTCAATACCACAGTCCAGATTTTTCAACACAGTTACAACTCCAAAAACACAATTATCAGCTCCTCTTCGTTTTGCCACTCCTCGCCTGGCGGTCAGGTGGATACTTCAGAAACGTTCCTTACTCTTTCTTGAAATTTGCTTCGGATGCATTCCATCTCATTCCCTTGAGATAGGACACATTCTGAAATTTTATATTTAAATACATGAATAAGTTATATGGAAGATATATTGTCTTAAATGATTCAAGTATTTGTTTAATCAATCACTTGAAAGGTTCATTTCACTGCTGTAACTTGGCATGTGAACATATGAACAGCATCAATACAAAATATGACGAAAAGTGTAAACAATTTATATTTTCAACCGAAGGAATGGAAGTTTTCTTAAACATTTTCAAAGAAAATCCTCAATTGCAAGTTGATTATTTAATTAGACTATGAATTACCGATAGGATGAATTAGACGATGCTTTACTGTCATATATTATTTGCTATGGTCATAATGAAAATGCTGCACTTGGTAATTAACTTACCAGAGATGATTGAATACAACCTTGTATTCTTAAAAGAAAACTTGCCGTTTTGCCCATCAAAATTCATTCTTGACATCAAATTGTTTGACATTGTCCTGCAAAACAATGGAAGATTGTTGTTATTCTGTCAGATTTAGTTTTCTTTAGAGATTCTCGAAATGATTATTTCAAATTAATAGGAGTTGAACTGATGTAGCAATTTTGCTAACAGGAGTCATAGATTGTAACAAAAGCCATTTTACATTAAATGATAAGAAAACAAAATGGGTGGTGGTTCACAGGTCAAAGAACAAGTCTATTGTGGGAGGTCTCCCAACACCATTTGTTCCCAAACACAAGGAAGTATGGATCATGGAGTTCTGAAACAATAATGAGCTCTCATAAGTATGCAATATATTCTCTATTATCTACACTTCTCTCTTTGTCATTTGTACACTCATAAAACTCAGATAAATAACTTTTTATAATTCATAAATGTTTACACTTAATCTCTTATAGGAACGCTTAGAAAATATCTCATATTATGAATTATGTGTACGTATTATCTGCGACGTCATAACTATGCTTCTCTGAATCATGAACAATAAAATAATGAGATTAAACTCTACATTACCAGAAATAATCTATCATACCCTGAATAATAAGACATTGAATAACATCTCTTACAACCCAATCTACACTCAAAAGACTTAAATGTACTCGTAAACAAACATCGCTGGCACACGCAAATTCTTGGAAACAGTGCATCTCTGACACTCAATTCCAAGAAATGGAAGTCCTACTCTATTTGACCAAAGGGTGACAGGTGGCCAAAACATATTGAAATGTAGGTCATACACTGAAAATAACTGATTTAAAAACACTACAAATATACACCTCTCTCTCATATACTCGATAGATGATCTTAACAAGGAACATGTACATAAAATGCTGATATCTAACAACACCTGTACTTTTAAATAATGGACTCTTCAAAATCTCAGTATGTTTCACTGCACACATATTAGATTGCAAATAATGAAAACCTACCCTTTGACAATAATAAAACATCATATTCAAATTCTACAGCTGACCAAATACCTGAAGAGTGTGTTTCCCAGCAATAAACATCTCTATATATCTATAAATGTATGACTTCTGTCCTCTCTCGTGCTATCTTACATCCAGCTGTTTACGGCGAAAAACAATATGGCGCCAAGCAAGGGAGTGTTCATTAAACTAAACATCTCCGGGAGCAATCATTGTCAATTTTTTCTCTTAAATGATCAACCTTAATATATAAATGAAAATAAAGACCAACTTTTATCACCAAAAAAGACCAAACATTATCACAAATATTCAAAACAGGTGGTAATGAAAGAGCATTATCATCTTTCTCTTAAACTTTGTGGTGGATATACTTGAAACAAGTGAAATGTTAAAACGTGTTACCTTAGCCTTGCTCCTTTATGTGATCCACAAAATTGCTGCCACCCAGTCTTCGAAGATGAGATTTCTGCAAATTCCATTAAAATAATCTTATTTCATAATTAAATGTTCCTTACATTAAAATTACTTCTTTTTGTATGTAAGATTTTAACCTTTACGAGACATGAATTATCATATCCCTTCCAAACAAGTGTAAGAATGAAATTCTGTGGGTGCAGTTTTGTTAATTGTCCCATCAAAGAATCATTAGTGAAGTTACACTTTTTGTAAATAAATAAAAGTTCAAATAAATTATATACAATTTCATCCTTCAAAGACTTTCACAAGACATTTTAAATGTAACAGTTAACAAAATCCGAAAGGAAAATTGCTCAAGTGAAAATTTTCGTTGCATTTCCTTACGCCATCGTCCACCACCCCCTCCCCCCAATAATATACATATGTTGACAGGGTTCAGGGCGTGCTCAATGCATCATTTACTGATAGATCTATTGAAACGAACAAATGTTCATAATAATGGGATGCAATATAAAATGTTGATTAATTCTATCCGATTTTGTATAGCCGCCCTTAGGGATCGTTCATAATGTATGGCTTTGGGGTGATGTTGATTTTATGTACAATGTGAATCACCCCCACCCCCACCCCCACCCCTAAAGTGTATGAGTATGTACAGAATAAGAGACGGCCCACCCTGCATGTCATGTACATTATCTATGACGCCCTCTCCCTTCCCATAATTTCTAAACATAGTGCGTGTGTACAAAAATGCTGACCCCTTAGCTCCCTGAACAAAATGGGTGACACCCCACCCCACCCTCCAACCCTTACAATCATCACCCCCCACCCGCAGCCATATATTTAATTATGAACGGTTCCTTATATTGATGTACTTCATTGATTATTTGAAAATGTATATTTGCAAAATTCAAATCAGGTGATGGGTACGAAAGGAAATCTTATTCGATTATATAATAAAATGCCAAATATATGCATGCAAATATATTGAAAAATAACAAAACAAGTTCATGGAAAACACGGGCTTCCATTAAATTTTGAGAAACATGTACTGTGACATACCGGTAACCTTGTGAGATAAAACATGAGCCCTAATTCGGAGTTTCTTGCTACTGCTAGATTTAAACGGCATTCCTACGTTTTCATTATACATGAAGGACATACTTACCAAATAAACACCAGCATGCCGTGAAGATGGTGAAAATAGAACGATATTGAGTTGAACTTCGCCAAAGTGAACTGACAACGATCAGCTGCCTTTGCGCGCGCGATAATTGTGCGCATGTCCGGATATGGCCAAACGAGGCGATCGAAAGGTCAACATCTGGCTTGTGTTTGAAAGCAAATTGTCGGGAATTATACAATTTTCACAGTTTTGTGGGAAAATATCAAATGTAATGCAATTTGGATAACTGATGACTTTATACCTAAAACTGCGATTTACGTAATATTTCCGTTAGTTGATCGATGCACAATCAAATAATATATAAGATTATATCTGTCACTAGCTCGATCTTGATCTTTTATGAAAATAATGTTCCGAAATGATAGTTGCTAAGTTGGATACCTATTACCAATATGAATTA